AATTTTGACGCTTTAAAATATTTGCTTTACTGAGAAGACTTTGCCTAGGGGGATTTCTTGGCAGATCCCAATTTGCGAAGTATTCTACATTTTTTTGGTCTTTCTTGACTTCCTCAATTCTAGCCTCTTAAGAGATTTGAGTCCTGGCCAAAAGTGATTGCTTTAGTTTACGTTCCCCCCACTAGGGGACGTGTTCTTAAATCCTTTTCTTTTGCTTCTATTTCTCAACTTAGATATATTTTCAACAGATCTCTTTATCGTTCGATGATCTCTGAAAAGCTCCTTTGATATCTCCAATGTTGACATTTTCTCACTGACTGTTTTTTTCTGTTTTTTCAGTATTTGCCAAAAACTTTCCATTACCCATGGTTAAATATATATTATGGAAAAATATTAGATTTCAGAGGCCTTAAACTAATATTAGTTTAATCTTCATAATAAATTCAAACTACAGGTTTTATAAATGTAATAACTTTAATAAAGCCATGTTAAACTACCTAAAACTGTAACGAAGCTTCGTTTTGACGTCTAAAGTTATCGTTTCAAAATTGAATTTAAAATATTTAAATTTAATTTTAAATTCCCCCTTTTTTAGTATTAAGATTTCACTCAACAAAATATGTTCCAATATCTTGTCCAAATTGAGCAAGATTAAAAATATTTTATCTTCAGTACGTAGGTGATCATGACTCTCCACAACTTCATTTTCTTTGTAACTTTTGTAAGATTTGTTATTTTACTATCTCTACTAATACCTGCTTTGTCAATAATTTACACAAGCTTGGTCTTCTTTGTACCATAGCCATTCAGTACTTCAGCGATCACGGCTCTTCACAATTTCCTCTCCTTGTTAACTCTTATGATGCTTTGTCTTTTTCTTATCTCTCCTAATCCTGGTTCTGGCAACGATTTACACTGCCTCGTGATCCGTTTCTTCTCACCTTCCTTTATTAACTTCCGTGGTTGATAGATTTAAAGCAGGGAGCTGCAAATCTCGACAAAACTGATAATTAATCTTTAAGGAGTAAATAAATCTAAAAAAGAGACACAGAAAAATGGCAGAAGACCATCCTAGTCAGAATGCACCCCCAAATTGCAAAGTACATCTGAACTAAATGTTACAGGTGAAATTACTTACGGGATTGATTTCGTCTGTAGATGAATCAGAATTAATACAGTTTATATTATTCCCAATAATGATCTGCGTCTTTTGGAGAAAAAATGTTCTATTGAATTATTCTATTGATTCAGTTTGCATGTCCAGTAAAATACTTTTTTTTACTCGAACTTATATCGGGTAACTTTGATTTATCACACATCAATGAATTACAAAGAAAGGATGTCTTTTATCCGTATGTGGGTTTGGGTTGTAAAACTTAATTAAGTGTAAACGCCAAGTTAGAGCCGGTTTGGCGTCCTAAAAGACCATCCCCAGTTTACAGGTGACAGGAACGGTAAATGATAGTCTACAGAAAATTTGGGTCTAATTTCACTGTAAATATATATCTTTGTACTGTTTCACTTGTGATTGCAAATAAAACTAAAAATACATTACATTTGTGTATGTTTTTCACGCTGGCTTTATTTAAGTGTTAGTATGAACAATCAGGTTTAGTAGAGAGAACAATGTAGTCTCGACCAGTATCACTATTCCAATGTCTTGCAGTAATTGTCTGAACGCGACTCTGTTTCGGACTGCCTCTGACTCGACTTGAACTACTGACCGACTTGAACGAGTGACTTCGCTTGAACTACTGACTTGACTTGAACGAGTGACTTCGCTTGAACTACTGACTTGACTTGAACGAGTGACTTCGCTTGAACTACTGACTTGACTTGAACGAGTGACTTCGCTTGAACTACTGACTTGACTTGAACGAGTGACTTGACTTGAACTACTGACTCCTGAGGCGCAGTATTTATTAAGTATGGAATAGTCCATTATTATTATTATTATTATTATTATTATTATGGGTAAGATCCCATAACAGTAACCAATTCCTCATATCCGGAAGGCCTTGTTAGTCCGGTTGTCTGGGACTGTAATTCGTTACAAAATATATAGATAACAATACATGAGATGGTTGCTAAACTTTGTATAAATTGCTTTAAAAAAGATGCTAATAATCTTCACTTGGTCCAGGAATGCTGAATGGTAATTTTATCTAAATTAATTTCTGGATTTCTAAAGCCAGAAAACAATTCAGGTACAATTCAGGTAAAATCAACATTTATTTGGAAGTACCTAACTTGAATAAAATTACATTAGTTCATAAAACCTCGTATCATTTGCTTTAAAAAGATGTTTTCAATTTTCAATTAATCCAGGAATGTTGATTGTTTCTGAAGTGTGGCTTCTAAAACGCTAAGGAAATAAATCGATTTTACATTTAGAAAACTTACAAAAATAAATAAATAATCATAAGTATATCAAACTCTAAATAAAATGGCGAAGCTTGAGCTCTGTCTCTAGATATCTCGAAGGCGATTGACAAGGTTTGGCATGCTGGTCTTCTACGTAAGATTCAGGGAAACAGTATTAAAGGACGACTACTTGATTTAATCCAATCATTCCTTTAAAATCGTGAAATGAAGGTCGTTCTGAACGGACACGCTTCCAGATTCTTTCTTATGAATGCTGGAGTACCTCAAGGCTCTATCCTGGGTCCTACACTGTATCTGATTTTCATCAATGATCTTTCTGATGTCGTCCTAAATGTCAGCAGTCGTCCTAAAGAAATGTTCTCCCGAGTTGGCTCCAGTTCTCTCTCTACAACTATTACCTCGATGATTCCTGATTCCTAGCATGTTGGAAATCCTTCTCTGTAGTTCTTGTTTTTAAGATCTGAAGAATCCTTTAACCCCTCAAATTATCACCTTATTAATCTCTTACCGCTTTTTGGCAACGTACGCGTAGATCTAATGAGTGCTGAAGTGGTTAAGCATCTTACTTGTCATGACTTCTTGGGAAAGATATTGGAGTGGTTTCCCGTTGCCTTCTCCACAGATTCCTTTTCTTTATTATCTGTAAATTTTCATGACTTCTTGGGAAAAATATTGGAGTGGTTTCCCGTTGCCTTCTCCAGAGATTTCATTTATTTATTATTTGTGCATGGCCATGACTTCTTGGGAAAGATATTGGAGTGGTTTCCCGTTGCCTTCTCCACAGATTTATTTTCTTTATTATCTGTGAATTGCCATGACTTCTTGGGAAAGATATTGGAGTGTTTACAATTTTCCTTCTCCATAAATTCATTTTCTTTATTTTCTGTAAATTCTCATGACTTCTGGGGAAATATAGTGGAGTGGTTTCTCGTTGCCTTCATAATAAGTTCTTTTAATTTATTATGCAATTAAGTAAATCGAAATTCTAAAATAATTTTTCTATATAATTTAGTTCATGAAACAATAAATTTCTTTACGTTTTATTTTATTAAAAATAATGAAAAACTGGTTCGTATTTTACCTAATGCCTTTTCAAATGTCTTATTTGAAGAAAAATATTCGCTAAGTAAGGTTTTAGTCTTTAATAAATTACTTTTATTTAGTTATAAAAAGTCATATTTTTCTGGTGCTGAGTTGTCTCGATCCTGACTTGTCCCGACAGCTCAGTCTGTGGTGTCGAGTTGGCGGTTTTGAGTTTGCCTATATCCAGTAAAAATAACTTTTATATAAAAGATATATGAATTAAAAATAAAATAAAAAATAATATAAAATAATAACATTCAATTTCAGATGAACTAAATATAGGATTAATTAGCATTTATAACGTGCTGTTGGACAGAAAACAAATTTATTCCGTGCAAGTCGAATATATTTCAAAGTATATTGAATGATTTAACACAAGACCATGACAATGCGTAGATATGGTTCTTTAATTTTATGACATGTCAGTCCTTATGAGATTATTTTATGACTATTTTTGTGTAATACCCCCACATTAAAAGAAAAACCAAAAATTAAAAAAAAAACTTCTGAAGTAACACTAATTTCCATGGGATAAAGCTATTTACTATTTACTAATATCACCAAAGGCGTGCCCGAAATCAGAAAAAAAAAACGCCGAACAAAGTACCCTGTTTTTTTGTTGTTTTTTTGTTTTGTCTTATATAAGCGAGTACTGAGATGCTTTGACGTAATATCGTGGTTGGTAGGCTTTTCTCGACATCAAACAAGTGCGGACATTTAAATATTTGGGCAGTATTTTAACAGTGGTCGGAAAGCGTGACACTGAAATCCGAAGGCGTATTAGGATGGCCAAGGAAACATTTCTAAAAAGTTAAGCAGGGTACTTAGAAGCAGGAAAATTTCGCTAGAAACAAGGAAAAGTCTATTAAACCGCTATGTGATATCTGCCCTCCTGTATGGAAGTGAATGCTGGAAGAGACTTTAAGCAAAAGAAATTTGGTTCTACAGAAGGATGCTGAGGATTCCGTGGATCGAACATGTGAGCAACGATACAGTTTTTGAGAAAATGGAAACAAAATGAAAACTAATACTTAACATCAGGAAGAGGCAGTTGAGGTTTCTGGGGTACATAATGAGGAAGGAAGGCTTGGAAAATCTGATACTCACAGGACAGATAGACAGCAAGAGAGACAGAGAAAAACAACGCATTACAGAGTGAGCTTGAGAAAATGGATGGCGGAACAGGGAGGCAATGTTTAATAAGAGTTACAAGGGTCAGGAAGTTGTGGAGATCCATGACTGCTTACGTCCTGAGCATAAGAAAGCGAGTTCGATTCTCACTCGATGCTCAGTACTTTTGGCCTTGTACTACATCTGAGCTACGCTTAGTAAATTGCTATTCAAGAGAGTACTCAAGAATTTATATAATTTGACCAAATGACAAAACATTAGTTTTATTTTGGGGCATCTTGGATTTGTAAAAAACTTTGATAAAGTTTAATTTATAAATAAAGTCCAATAAATGAATTGAAACTCGGCTCTCTGATTAAAAATTCCGAGCCGTTATCTATTACATCACCCGCACATCCAAGCTTACAGCACCTGATATTCTGAAACGGTCACCCATCTCGATACTGACCAGGCTCTACTCTTGCTTAACTTCGGTGATCGCACGAGAACCGGTGTTTCAACGCGATGTGGTTGTTACTAAAGAGACAGAAAGATAGATATGAAGAGACTGAGATAGATATATATATATATAGAAAGATATGAAGAGACTGCGGTAGATATATATATATATATATAGAAAGATATGAAGAGACTGCGGTAGATAGATAGATATGAAGAGACTGAGATAGAAATTTTTATATTTTTTTTTAAATAATAATGTTTTAGTGATACAAGTCTTTCTAATTAACCCCTAGCCGAAGAGCAAAGAGGTGGATTCATGCCTTTCCCAAGGTTATTTGCGCGCATGGGAATTGAAACTCGGCTCTCCGATTAAAAATTCCATGTCGTTATCCATTACACCACCCGCACGTCCAAGCTTGCAACATCAAATATTCTTAAGGCGTCAGCCATGTAAGTTCTGACCATGCTCGACATTGCTTAATTTCAGTGATCTTATGGGAACTTGGAGCTCCGATTAACAATTCCGAGCCGTTATCTATTAAACAACTCGCCCATCTAAGCTTAAAGAAAGATTGCTGAAAGCTATGTAATAACTTCTCGTATATGGGAGTGAATACGGGGCAAATTTGCTCACAGATGTCGATGAGTTGAGATGTGGTTTAAGATCTTGAAGATCTAGAGATACGGTTCTACAGAACAATACAGAGGATATCTTGGATAAAACATGTGGAAAGTGGTGTACTTGTACTCTGACTACAACAGGGATTTAATTCCTGAATCCAGAGAATGAGGTAAAAAAAACAAAAAAAAACAAAAAAAACATGGCGGTGTCTATATCGATCAGCAGTTAAATTCGTTCTTTCTTGCGCAGTCATGACCAGGTTAATTTGACAGTTGTGAAATCAAATCCCCAAGAAGGAACCCAGATATTGCAAAAAGGCCGCAGTGGATGAATTAAGTCGATCTGTTCAATGGGCCACTGAAGATTGTTGGCTGAAGATTACCGGGGTGTACACCGGCTGAAACATTGTCAAGCTCCAGTGTACCAAATATAAGTGGCGGAACCATTGGATCATTTCCTTCAATGCCCAACCCACCAACAGGCACGACGGTTATTTCGTACGTCACGCTTATTATTTTTCGAATCATTTTCACCGGGTCACGATTATTTTGTCATATGATTTTTAAACTTTGATAATGATTCCAGGCGAACATTTATTTGAAGTGACAAGCTTATTTTACAAGTTGAGCTATTCCGACGAGTATGAGTATTGCAAAGCGAACTTGTATTTTGGTACAAAAGAGTACCTATCATAATTTGTTCATATCTATCTATCTATCTATCTATCTATCTATCTATCTATCTATCTATCTATCTCAGACTGGTCATATCTATCTCAGTTTTATCGTATTTAGCACTAATAATGTGCTCATATCTCTATATATACACTTTGCCAAATACAAATGCCGGCACAATAGAATAATTCCCGTCAATTTTACGCCCCGCTTCCCTTCTAAGCGAGCTTATTATTTTTCACAGTTATTTTCTCCATTTTTTTTATGTAACCTATAAAAACCCCAGCAGCTATTTGCCTTGGTCAAATCTTATATTTTCCCGCTAATTTTATCAGCTGGAAATTTCCACCGGCATGTCTATTCCAGATAGAATTGTGTTTACTACTAAAAAAAAGTACAAACGATAAAAATGTCGATAGACATCGACAAGTGAATAAATTTTGTTAGTTGAATATTAACGATGTTTTTCCTTCAGTTAAATTCCATGTTAAATATAGATTAGAAATAACCCTCATCGTGCAATCCTGCCATAGTAAATGGCTAACCAAAGCATGCGCACAAAGTTTTCGCGGGTACATCGGCCTAATTTTAGTAGATGACTGTTCATTGAAAGATAACATCTTGTATAATTATATATAATGGGTGCAATGGATAAATTGTCATCTAAATTACGCAAAAATGAAAATAACACTTGACATTTCATTTTAACAGATATATTTACCAAAATTACACAAAAAATATCTTGAAATACTAAAGAGTAAATTTATTCAATAAAATCGCCATTGGCTTCAAGCACTTTGGAATCTTCAAGCACTTCGGAATCTGCAACTCTTCTGGACGGTCTCAGTGTTTAAGTTGGTGAATGCTGTCATAATCCTTGCCTTCAATTCATCTTTGATATTACAAGGAGTTTTGTTGGCCTCTCTCTCGACTGCATCACACACATAATAATCAAGGGGGTTGCAGTCTGGGGAGTTAGGTGGTCAGATGTAAAGGGTGATATGGTCACAGAAATTGTCTGACAACCATGACTGGGTTCTCCTGCTTGTGTAGCATGGTGCAGAGTCATGTTCCTAGACATAGGGTCTTCTAGCAACCATCCTCTTGATTCAGGACAGCACTATCTCTAAGGCACTTGATATAGGCCTCTGTGTTGAGTCTGGGGACCCTCATACCAAACCCATGAGTTATTTTCTTATCAGAACGATCAGAATGAGTTTTCGGAGCCACCGTACATTCGTAATCACCATTAGACTCATCCAACTCTCCCCGAATCCTCTGCACTTTCCTCAGTTGATATCCAAACACTCGCGCGTATGCCAATCAGTACAGCATGCCGTTTCTAAATTTCTGGTGGAATGAATTGCGTCGTTGTGTTCTTTTTCTCGCAGACGGTGCCCAACTGACATTACCATACTGTGCAGTTAAAAAAAAAGAAAAAAAAAACGCGCATGCGCAAAATTAAAACTATAAAATGGTGGCAATTTACCCATCGCACCCTGTATATGCCGAATAGATAAACCGTATCATTGTAACTAAACAAAGCAAAGTACCCGTTAATCAGTCTCGTTACTTCGTTGAGAAACGAAAATCTAAATCTGGGAGTGGCAGATCCTGTCTTATATTTATCGTGACAAACAAGTCGTTGTCGTTGTTGCTTGATACGCACAGGATTGCCACTGAACGAAGGCAATTGGACACGATGTCCGATTTTATTATGCAGGTCATTGTTTTCACAATAAGTTTGATGTAAAAAAGAACAATTATGGGAAAAAATTCATGTCGGCTTTAGCTTATAATACCTACCATTATAAAAATAAATATGAATAACGTTTTATTTTGGAATTGTTTGACTGCATTATGCAAGAAATAAAGCTTTAAATTACTATTTAAAAATAAAGTTAAAAAGATATAGGCCACAGAAAATATATTTAATTATCACAATATCCAATAAAACGGAATTAATTATTATTTTATTATATTACATATCAATGTGTATAGTCTTAAAATATTAAATCATCATAACCCATTAAACCATCATAACCGATTAAATCGTATGAACCTGTTAAATCGAATTTACCCATTAAAGCCCACACTCCAATTTTTGAGATACTGGGTATAATAGATAATTTTAAAAACCTATAGTTAAGAGCGGATTTTTATGAAGTTATAATTAATTTCTGATGTTTTAAAACTGATAATTAATTCCCTATTTTTTTAGAAATTTATAATTAATTCCCGATATTTTTCTAAACCTATAATTAATTCTTGATTTATTTAGAAGCCTACAAAACATTGTTGATTTATTTAAGATGGAATGATCTATTATGACAGGTCTCTAATTTGTATTTAGATATATTGCATTTATTTTCAATTTTTCTGATTAAATTGTTCACCTTTATTGAATATGATGCATTATTGTGCATAAATTTGTATTTTATATGAATGCTACGGGACCGAGTGGTTAGAATGTTTGCATTCTGAACCTGAGACACGGGTTCGAATCTCACGATTTATCGTGGAGGAGGCAGTGCCAGTGTGCGGTACCTTTGGAAAGGGACTGAAAACCATACCCCAGGTTGACCCAAGCCTTGCGAGTGAAACTGGGTAGACGGAAGACTTGATGGAGGGGGGCGTCGATAGCTGTGCTAGCACAAAGTCACAAGTCATCGTGACCAAGAGTTCGAGTATGCTGGCCTTGTTCAGATTGTTGTTCACGCTAGATAACACGCTTTCTCCCAGAAACTGTAACTAAGGTCAAAAAAAAGAAAAGCCAAAGCTCTCTGTCCCCTGAACTGAACCATCCATGTGGTGGCTGCAGATGTCTCTTTAGATCCAACATAGGACTCATTTCACACAGAAGGAAATGTCCTTGAGCACCCCAATACTCAGCACAGCAACGAGTTCTGTTGACAACAATATATATATATATATTAGTTAATCGGTTAAGGCACGTCAGGCTATATGACGGTTCCGTATAGGATGCAGGTTCGATTCCTGTTAGAGGACGAATATTTTCTATGAAAATTTCTCGGACATTCAGGCCGGTAAATGTTGTTAATACTGTTTATTTACATTTATTAAATATTTGTATCTATAAAAAGAACGTATAAACATATAAAATGTCTTTATATATATATATATATATATATATATATATATATATATATATATATATAATGTGTAGGTGTGAACTCTAACCCACGGACTGCAATGAGCCAGACACCTTGCCTGAATGCCCGGCATTCCTCGGAAATGTCGATGAGCACCCCAATACTCGGCAACGAGTTCCGTCAACGGACGATAAGTGGAGGTAGTAAAAAGCAAATGCTGATAAGATAGCGAAGGTCACAAAGCACAGCCCGAGGTCCCCAATCAAGTCGAGGGGTGTCCGGGGGGGGGGGGGGTTTAGAACGCACTTGCTCTATTTAGCACAATGATTCTATCTACCTGAATACATTATTATTTTTATCATTTTACATGTAAATAGCCTTGTTTGATATCCTATAACATTCACAAGTCTTTCAAACATCGATTTTTTGCAAGCCACTGTACTCCATCGAGTCTAATCTTCTTTTCAGATGGTAATGTCTACCAGGGATCACCATTAAGAAAATAGAGCTTTCGATCTGATTTTTTACATTGTACGCTCCGGCCTTCTTCAGGTGATTGGAATTTCAGATCCGCGGGGTAGATTTTTCTAGTTTCTCACCTCAACCAACTACGTTACTTCAACAAACGCTTTTATCCACTGGGCCATGGGTCCTTGCCGACATCAGTGTATAAATTTTGGGGACTTGTAAACCTAATGTCTCAGCATTTTTACCAGAGCTCATATTACAATTTGTTTTGTTCATTGCTTTTCTCTAGCACCCCGTATTACTGGTTCCCATATTGTATTCATGTCTCTGCTTGGGTTCGGTTCGAAATTCCAATCACCTGAAGAAGGCCGGAGCGTATAACGGTTTAAAGACGTGAATATGACAATAAAGATGAGGATACCTAATTACATACCTCATCTCAAAAATATATCAGATCTTTTTTTATTATTCAGTCTTTTCGTAATTTACCTCGTTATTTTTCGCATCGCTCAATAACGTTGCTATACCTCGTTTCTTCTTCCTTTCAACTATATTTCATCTCTCCATTTTGTCTCTGTCTTCGGACAGAGCGTAACTGGAAATATCATTGAGCGGTGTTCAATCTTCCGGGAAAGGGCTGCCGGCGGCAGTACCCACCCCCATCATTGCACTAAAGACGGGGATAGCAGCGCAACCGACGGTTGCAAGGTCTAGGTTATTTTGGGACCTATCTCGTGTGACCGCGTTCGGGCTACTGACCTTGTATCACACATACTGACAGCATGAGAAAATACATTCGCTTCTTGATTCATTTTTGGCTGAGATCAAAGGGTAGTATCTGTTCTTACCAGCTTAATTCCCTCTCCACTTCTTTCTTTCTTTCTTTTTCTTACTAAAACCAAGAGGATCGTTTTCCTCTTTCCACGCGATGAAAACAGAATAGTCCATTATTTATGAGGTATTGACAGGGCGTAACGGTCGTTCAAACTAACTAAGCGAAAAGACGAGCACTATTATAATAGAATTATTTTGCACTCTCTTTAGTACAGTCTCTTATTGGTTCATTACACCAGACCTGGGGTAAGGCAAAGTAGTATATATATATATATATATATATATATATATATATATATATATATGCATTCTGCTTGCACAAATTCTGATGTTACCTGATGATACTTAATATGTACAAGGTTTGTATTTTCTTTACATTCATGATACACTTCTGAATAAATTAATCTTCCCACACAATGCACTTGTAAACCGGGGTTCCAGGGATTTTGCTAACGGACTTGCATGTACCATTTTGGATCGTTCCCAGTACTCAAGTTATTATTGGTGTAACAGTAGTTCTAAGGCGCCTTAGAATTTCAATTTCAAGATATTTATTTTGTCATATTCTTTAACAAAGATATTTTATCTGATGTCGCTGAAATGTCTGTGAAAAAGCAATTTTCTGTTTGTGATTTTTATTCACTATGTCTGGTCTATTAGTTTTTATATGTCGCTCAGTATGAATGGTA